TTTCCAGATGTGTCCTTTCAGGGTTGTGATCTTCACTGATTGATTGGCTAGTACCAGGGCAGGGGGTCATTATTCAATGCAGTGGTCCTAAGGTCAGCTGGTTTTGTTGCTTATCTGGGCCTGGAGCTGAAATACAGCTGAGGTATAGATGTTATCTCTAGGGAGGAAAAGTCAGGAGTCCGAACCGCATGACCAGAGAAATGCTAGGGGAGGAAAAGTAACCCTGGGGGTGAGGTCCCACCCTACAGTTGATTGTCCGTTGCTAGGCACCTTCTGTACTTGGCCAATCATCCTTGCTCTGCGCATGTGTGTCTAACTGCCTATCACAGACCCACTAAAAAGAAATTCTGGATTTAGTGTCTGAAACATGGATCCAACAGTGGTCTACACTAAATTAAGTTGAAATGCCAGAACTACCTTGATGTTTTATGGAGGAAAGTAGACAAAGGTGTAAGGAGATTGAAATGTTACAGTGGAATACATATCATGAAGACCTACTCATTCATCCTGGGAAGGTCCAAAGACATATCTTTTACCTCAACTGTGAGAAATAAATTTGTGAGTTGAGCCCCAGTATCCTTGAAGAGCTCTATGTCTGTTCTTCTTTGTAGGTCAATTTACAGTGGCAACTGCTACCAATGAATTGAGATCCCTACTTGTAATGAGGATAATGGGCCTCAAGGAAGGCAGGGGAAAAGTGGCTGCACTTAATTGCCAAAGCCAAGGTGAGCAAGATGACTGTAATGGGCAGTGGAGTCAAAGTAGTAATCAGAATAGGGCCTATTCAATAGGCTGACTCGAGGAAAACCTGGAGCTTTGTCTAGGTCAGTAGTTCTCAACCTTGGCTGCACATTAGAATCACCTGGGAATCTTTTTAAAATCCTGATTTCTGGGCCTCATCCTCCGGAAATTCTGTTTCTTTGTTATGGGGTGGGGCCACAACATTAGTAACAAAGAAACGGAATTTCCGGAGGATGAGGCCCAGAAATCAGGATTTTAAAAAGATTCCCAGGTGATTCTAATGTGCAGCCATGGTTGAGAACCACTGGCCTAGGAGGTGATCAAATGAACTAGGTGGGCAGTCTACTAAATTCTCACTTGTGTTCTGTAGAAATGAAGACGTCTAGGTTTGGTCAACAGAAGCCTAACTTGAATTATAAAAAATAGTCACAGTCCCTCAGTTAATTTCCAAACTTGAGAGCCAGTTTATAGACTAAGAACCACTTGAAAGAAGTGGATACTGGGTCCTCTTTAGGACTGCAGAAAATTTATTCTGTTGATCTGTGTCCCAGTCTTTCTCAAAGGGACTGTTGTCATAGGAAGGCAAAGTGGGGCAGGGTGGTGGTGGTGGGGATCATCTCTGGGATTGGATAAAAATAAAAGGGATAGAGATACACTTCTTTTGCAAGGTGAGAATAGGAAAGTTGACAGCTAACAATTGACCTGATAAGAACAATGAGGGGTTCAGTGGTCTCTTGCTCTGGTGTAGTGACTGTGCCCAGAGGGGTCTGGCAAAAGGAAATGACTCTGACATTTCAAAGGTTTGTTATAGTGCCTGCAAATAGACAATAGACAGGCTCAGTTAAAGTAAAGATTGACTTTTGTCAAGGCGGACTCCTCACCATGACTTGCTTTTATTTTTTTTAATTTTTTTATTTTTCAATGTTTTCATTGATTTTTAGACAGAGAGGAAGGAAGAGGGAGAGGATGATAGAAACATCAATGGGAGAGACACATCCTTTGGCTGCCTCCTGCATGCCCCCTACTGGAGATGGAGCCCACACCCAGGGCATATGCCCTGACCTGAAATTGAACCGTGACCTCCTGTCTATGGGACGACACTCAATCCACTGAGCCACACCAGTTGGGGATCATGACTTGGTTTTAGTCAAGAAGTTTTAATTTCAGACCATCCATAAAATGGTGGAATGGTAATAATGTGGAATTTGGAGTCTTAGATTGACTCCAGTACAGACACACAAATGTGAGCAATTGATTTAGTCCTTCTGTGTTTCAGCTTTCTCATCAGTAAAATGGATTCTTTTTAGGGTCAAATGTGATTGTTTTAAACTGCTTTGTGAATGACAAAGCTCTATGCAGAGAGCAGATGGCAGACTGGTACAAGTGCAAAGCTCACCATTTTCTTCTTGCCTGAAACACAGGACAGCCAAGATAAGCTCATTTTTGCAGTGAAGAGGGAGGGGGAAGAGAAGAAATGGTGGAAGCCCCTCTGCTCTCCTTCACTCATTTCACCTCTTTCCTCTCCTGCTCTCCTTTAGGCTCTTCCCAGTAAACCTAGGTGGGATTCTCCCTGCAGTTAGAACTCCCTTCACGTACTGTATGGGGTTCCTAGGGGTGTCTTAACAAATGACCACAAACGTGGTGAATTAAAACCACAGGAATTTATTCTCTCACTTCTGAAGCCCAGTCTGAAATTGTTACAGGGAAACCCTCAGTTGGGCTTGGGCTGCCTGTCGCTGTGTCCAATAATGAAGGCAGGGTTGAAACATATTAGACGTTTATTGAGAAGGCTAGCCAACCAAGAAGACAGGGTGCTTACAAGCATCAAATCCTGTCTTCCAGCAAGGTGCAGGGGATAGGATTATATAGGGGAAGGGGCTAGGGCAGGGGTGGGCAAACTTTTTGACTTGAGGGCCACAATGTGTTCTTAAACTGGACCGGAGGGCCAGAACAAAAGCATGGATAGAGTGTTTGTGTGAACTAATATAAATTCAAAGTAAACATCATTACATAAAAGGGTACGGTCTTTTTTTTTTTTTTTTTTAGTTTTATTCATTTCAAACGGGCCGGATCCACGGGCCGTAGTTTGCCCACGGCTGGGCTAGGGTGAATGAGGCTGGGAAGGAATGCAGCTATGTGCAGGCCTGGGGTATTGTAATGAGTCATTAGGCCATGAGATAATGTTTTGACTCCTGGTGGGTAGGTCTGGCCATGCTTTTTAGTTCTGCTTGCTGGATTCACAGCTGAGTCACCTCCTCAATCGCTTTGCACAGGCCTTGAAAAGGAAACTTTAAGAAAACTTTTAATATTACGTTTCAGATTAATTCAGGTGCTCTATCTTTTAGGTTATAGGTACCCCCCCCCCCAACCCCCTATCAAAATCAAGGTGTCTGCTGAGTCATGCTCCCTCCAAGGGCCCTAGGGTTCCTGGGCTTGGGCCTGCATTACTCTACTCACTGCCTCAGTCTTCACATGACCTTCTGCCTATGTCTTTTCTTCCCGTCTCTTTAAAGACACCATCCTAATCCAGGATAATGAGATTTTTTATTTTCAGTATGTTACCTGACCAAAGTTTATAAGCCCAATGCTTCAGAAGGCCAAAACTCAAAATGTCAAGAGTTTGGAGTAAGGAGAGATTTATTGATTGAGAAGGTGCCAACACAGAGGGTGGGAGATCTAATGGTGCCTCAAATCCATCTTGCTCACTGGACTAGGTTAAGGGACTTGAAAGAGTTAGAGGGAGCAGATATACAGAAGTGCTGGTGGGGCAAGATTTAATTGGTGGATCTCGGAACTTGGCCATTTATGGTAAGGGGCACCAACTCCAGATCTTTCTAGACAATAGACCCTTGGCTTCTGAAAAGGTTCGGATGCTAAAGTTATGACCTGGTCCTTTGGTTCTATACTGTATGTGTTTGTGTGTGTGTGTGGGGAGCACTTTGGTTTTCAAAGATTCCAGCAGTTGTGTTGTCCTTGTTTTTGTAAACTGGCAGACCACGTTTAAATTTGAGAAACCAAGTGCTTGGACGTCTTCATTCATAACTTGTTTTTTTATGACCAAGTTCTCATTTTTCCCCTTCTCAGTGGGAAAGGGGATTTATGATAACTAACTGGCAGGAGGTGCAGAGGACAAACATGAACATTCTTGGCAGTTTAACTTCTCCCCTCCTTGGCCTCCTCCCTTCTGCTTCCCACTTCCTCCACGCCCTGAGGAAGGGCCATTTTCTCTACAGTATTTGCTATCAACAGTTTCCATTCAGTTTGCTGGCTCTCCTAGTTTTTTCCAGGTTCAGTTAACACCGGAAAGAGACCATCAGTGATGGTCCGGAAAACCTGGGCAGCCGGATTTTCTTATCTACTGCACTCCCAGAATCCGGATTCTCATGCTCAGTCTTAAAATCAGATCACCTCTCTAAGAAGCATGAAGTGAAGTAAATACCTACGGGTGATTGCAGTCTTCGTTCCCATCAGAGCTAGCAAGGCAGTAGTGCGGCATACTATCCAGGAGGCGCTGTCAGCTTGGCGAAGGCTTGCGCCAGCCCGGCGTTCTTCTGCAGCTCTCAGCGCGCTTGAGTGTTGCGTGAACAGTAAGGGAATCTGTGGTTGGATTCTTACCCCAGGAAGAGAGCGAGCCTCAGCTGAAAAATTTCTGTGCCAGGGAGACAGCGGCTGAGTGTGTAGGCGACTCGCGGAGAGAGTTTTCACCCCGCCCTAGAAAGCTCAGTTCGGTGGGGGACGGAGGGGAAGGTGTGGGGACCTGGGAGCGGGGTAAACGGTAGCTTGAAGCGCTCTGACCATTTCGCTCTCCCCGAAAATCCTTGCAAGAAGTTGTTGTGCGCCCACACAAACAAGACCTTCTCAAGCATCCCGGGCACGTAGTAGTTCGTTTGGAGGTGGTGGAGAGAATGCTAATATTTTGTAGGTGAAAATTCTGCTCCTGAAGGGATTCCCGCTGAGAGTGCTGGGGGAGGCGGGGCAAGGGGACGAAACGAGGACGCCCTGGAGACTGCAACGCTCTAGGAGCCGGTCCAGCTTGGGTGCTCCGGGTTGGGTGGCGGAGGAGGTGGGGCCAGGGCGGCGCGCAGAAATAGGGCTTCGGGCGGCGGAGCGCCGCCAGCCACCAGTACAGTCTCCTGCCCAGAGCCAGTTCCCACGGAGGCTGGGGTGGTGCAGTGCGGACGCTCGCAGGGATCCTTACTCCCCAAGGGCCTCGGTGAGTCACCCGCTGAGTTGTCGCGATCGCAACCCAGAGGAAATCAGGCACCGGGTGGGGCGCGTTCCGGGCGCTGCGGGGTCACCCCAGCTCGCCTCTCCTGGCTGGTGCCACCGGCTCTGCGTGCGCCGCGGTGACTTCCGCGCTGGTCAGGGTCTCCAGCCGAGAAAGAGTTAACCGGCCACCGCAGGAGGAGCCCCAAAAGGAAGGAAGGAAATTGCCGTAGTTCTGAAAGTTTTTCCTTCCTCTCTTTTTCCCCCTGCAGAGGTGAGTGCCGGGAGGCGGCGGCGCTGATTCTCCCGGGCCAGGCTCCGCGCCTCTGCTCCAGGAGCTGCCGCCCGAGTGCCCGGGGACAGGGACAGCCGTCGCTCTCGGACCTCCGCCGCGACCCCTTCCGAAAGGGTGCGCACAGCCATGGAGGGCGCAGAGCTGGTGGGGAAGATCCTTTTCACCTGGCTGACGCTGGTGCTCGGCCTCATCCTCCTGCCTTCGGCCTTCGGGGTGTCTCTGGGCATCTCCGAGATGTACATGAAGATCCTGGTGAAAACTTTAGAGGTGAGTGTCCCCGCACCTCGGAGGGCTTCAGGGAGAGTTTGGGGGTGCGGACCGAGGGTAGTGCCCAGTTTAGGGGGGACCAGTTCTGAAGGTCAGTGGTCCGCAGGTTGTGCGTTTCGGTTTATCCTCCGCAGTATCGCCCAGACAGCTTCTGCAGAGCTGGAGAGATCGGGGCTGGGACCCCTGGACCACTCTATTGTTCCTCTTCTCGGAGGCAGAGCTACCCCACCCGCTGCTCCGTTATTATTATTTTTACTGACAGATTAACAGTGTGGCCGCCTTTTATAGCATTCGCTTTCTTTCAATCCGTCACGCAGTGCGCTGTGGCTCCCTCTCCAAGTTTTTACGGCCCCTGGTTTCAGAGGTCCTTTCCTGTACTAAGGCATCATGTTTGTGCTCAAGATAAGAAACCAATTGCTGAATGGTAGAAAAAAAATCTGATAATATTTTAATGAAGTCATGGAAATTTTATCTAATTGGTGGCACTTGAAATGTCATCGAACATGTGTCTTTGACCTCTGTTCTCCTTCCATTCCTCTTTCCAAATCCTGCAAAGAAAGGTATGTGGTGCAGGCGGGCCCAGTGGGGAAGCTGCAGCTTCATGGTATCTGTGGCTTCATTCAATCACAAGGGCTCCCCTGCTGCTGTCTCAGCATCTACTCCCCCAAGCCTTGGAAGACAGGGGGGCACTCATCCCCTTTTATACAGATAAGGAAACTGAGACTCAGTTCAGTAGTTTGAATGAAGTGGTCATAACTAAGGAGAGGGTGTGTTTGCCTAGCGGTCAGGAGTACAGCCTTTGGGTACAGATTTTCTTAGATGTGATACCAAACTCCCAGCTCTGCTTCTTAATACCAGGCTTTAAGGAAGCCTCATTTTTCTCATCTATCCAACAGGAGGAACAATAACGCCGATTTCCATAGGCTTGTTTAAGTATGTTAAAATATATCAAACATCTCAGACGGGTGCTGAGACATGTTATGTAAGTGTTTGCTGCTATTCAAAGAATAATAATATTATTTAGGGTCTAGCATCCTCATTTCTCTAACTTTTAATGTGGGTTCTCATTTTTCTGTCCTTATTTCCTATCTCAGGATGAAACCCAGCCTGCACGGTGGCTCCTACATCCATCTATCTATCTATCTATCTATCTATCTATCTATCTATCTATCTATCATCTATCTGCCTACATTTATCTATCTAAACCCCTTAACTAAGTGCCAGGCAGGTAGTTAATCACCTTAACTACGAACAATCATGCTTAAGCTACATAATCTTTATTTAGGATAATCTCTTTCAGTTACTTCCTTGTAGCTTAACAGAACAGTAGAGTAGTGACCTTGGAATGGAGGTAACAAACACCCTAACCTTTGGAATAGAATGGATAGGATTAAAATCAAATGGTATAAATACAGATGTAACAGGAGAGTAAAGGGAGAACCTGGCTAGAGAACCTGGCTATGCTGATCAACTGAACGCTGTCTCCATGTCCTTCATTCTTTGCCGACTCCGTCCACACCTTTGGGAACTCCTGGACCACTGGGGCTGGACCCCGGCATCTATCTATCATCTATCTATCATCCATCTATCTATCTATCTATCTATCTATCTATCTATCTATCTATCATCTCCAATCTGCTGGTTTCATACCTGGAGATGGTTTGCTAATCTTTCACCTATTAATCTCCTGCAAATCTTTTCTACCTGCTGATAACAGGAGATTCTGTTATTGTACATGGGAGATATTTCTCAGTGTTTTTTTTTTTTTTAAATCCTCACTGGAGAATATGCTTTTATGAGAGAGAGAGAGAGAGAGAGAGAGAGAGAGAGAGAGAGAGAGAGAGGAGAGAGAGAGAGAGGAGAGAATGAACGAGAACGCTATGAGAAGGAAACATCTGGATATGTGCCCTGACCAGGAATCAAACCTGCCACCTTTGGTGTAGGGGACAACACTCCAACCAACCAAACCACACCAGACAGGGTTTTCTTTCTGACTTCACACTCTGAACATGGTCACATCAAGCTGCCTCCTACTGTTTGACTTCTTCAGGATATTCTCCTTATAGCACAGGATCCTCTTCAGCTGGTGTTCACTCTTTCTCAGAACGCTGAAATAATTGAGCTGTTCTTCCATACAGCAATGTCTGTTGGAATTTATACCGAAGTAAGGATGGAGTGAGGGTAAATCACACAGACTGGCTTCCAGGTGCCAACTCCTGTGTTTCTTGCTTTAATACCATAATTCAAGGTACAGCTAAAGCTATGTCCTGGAGAGAGAACAGTAATTGCTGTCAGCCTGGCAAATAACTACTATACTTTGAAGAGATATCACCGGTCTAGGATCTGGCCTTCAGTTTGGCAGCACCTTAAGTTTTCATTTTTGTCCATCTAGAGTTGAAGAGACTTTCAGAAATGGACTCTTTGTTAATCAAACTATCAAGAACAATTTCGAATTGTTGTGGGAGACCCATCACTTGGCTTGGAAACCAGGTAGAGGTGGCATAAGGAACCATCCTCTTTGCCAAGACTAAGTTATTAGGTCAGTGAGATGCTTGGCATATATGGGGATTCATTGTGTGAGCCAACTCTGACTTGGTTGTAGTTGCCTGGAGCATCTGTGTTAGGAAGACGCTGGGCTTATCAGGAAAGAGTTTCGATCCCACAGTGATATCTGCTTTAGGCAAAGGGGATGAAAGTGGCAACCCAGCGCTCCCCATCCTCCCACTAGAACAGCAATAGTTGTTTCAAAGACATTTCTATTAGGCGGGGATTAGTATAGGGGATTACTTTTTCTGACTATAGGAATGGTTCCCTTAAAAATTGTACTGGTTGTTTAGTATTAGAACATCTTTGTTAGTGTTCAGTATTAGAACATCTTGAGTTCTGGACAAATACCCTGCTTTTTTGTAGGTTCCATTCAAGGTCCAGCCTTTCCTGTTACTCATTATTCCTTAGTATGTTTGCAGCTGATTTGGTTGTTTCTTTTGCGTTCCAGTCCCAAGAACATTCTATGGGCTCTTTGATTGAAAGTTGAAAAATCTCAAGTTTCCCTGGTTACAACCTACATACTGTTTAAAAGGTCATTTAGTTTTGTACACTATATATTTACTTTTCTAAGTTTTATTGACAATGGATGGCTTTTTCATGACCACAAACTCAAATTCTGGAATTTTAAATGTGTGTGGGGTGCCTTCTGAATAGCTGATTGTAGTAACTGCTGTTTGTCAAGGAACTGACCCAGCTCTTCTCTAACTCCTTCTTAGCTGCTTATCATTTCAGGTAATAATTTTTTTATTGAGAACTTACTGCATGTTGCCTTGTGCATTGCTGAATATCTCTATACTAGTGGCCTGGGGCACGGATTTGTGCACATTGAAAGGAAATTAATTAGAAGAACGGCAGCTCGGCAGTAAACCAGATTCGGGGCTAACAGTGCCCCAGCAACAACATAACCCACTGCTGAAGGTTGAATCGAGCAGCCCCAGGAGGAATTGGGTTCCCTCCTCTCTGGTTCTGGGGTGCATCACCTGAGAACTGCAGCTGCCAAGTCACCACAGTTCGGCAGCTTCTGCGTTGAGCGCCTGCCCCCTAATGGTCAGTGCATGTCATATGTACTGGCTGGTCGGATGATCAGACGGTCACTTAGCCTTTTATATATATAGATGTGTGCGTAAGCTCCTGAGATGGCAAGCCACTTGACAAGGCTTGAATTCTTAGTGATTCTCTAAACTACTGATTTTCAAGGGCTACATAATAATTTCTAAGGAATGTCACAATTATATTGGGAAAATTGTTTTAGGAATGTAAACTATGAAAAGTAAAATTTTGGCTGAGAAAATGGTGTGTAGAGAGTGACCCATCTGGATGGTGGGGTGTATGTATCTGAATCTGTAGAGGGTGTGTGAAGTTTTCATGTTTATCAGAGAGGAACATGGATTAAAGGTTGAAAAATGCTGTTGTCAACCAGGAAAGTTAATTATAAGGTTAATGATGGAGGTGAAAAGGTTAAAAAGTTGCAATTCATTGGCCTAAGATTAGAGGGGAATAAAGAATGGGAAGAGAATAAAGGATTAATGGAGAGGAAGAAGGTAGGGGAATGTTATTAAATTTTCCCCTCAAGTTTTTAATTTATTTACTAGAGGCCTGATGCACACAATTCTTGCAAGAGTATGCCTTCTTTCCCCTGGTTGCCAGCACCAACTTTCCTCTGGCACCTGGGATCTGGGCTTCCCTTCGACCGCCAGCAGGCACCCGGGACCTGGGCTTCCCTCGCAGCCCCGGCTCCATCCAGAAGATGGTCTGGAAGGATATCCGGTCTAATTAGCATATTATACTTTTATTATTATAGATTTTTTAAATGTTATTTGAATTCCCCCTCAATTTTTGAGGAATAAGATGGAAGCATGAACAAGTTCTTTGAAATTTCTGGCCTTGTAACCTTGGACAGGTTACCTAACCATCTCGACCTTAGTTTCTACTTGTGTATATAGGAATATGCCTCTAAGAGTTATTGTGAAGATTCTATGAGGAGAGGTGAATTAAAGTACTTGATGCATAGTAGGAGCTTAATTCTTGGAGTTTGAATTAAAAAACTCTTTGGTCTTTGTTTTTGTTTTCTTCTACGTGGCTAAATTTTAACCTACCTTCAGATTTTTGATAGGTTAGCATATGTGCTCAGAGCAGATAATACCTGCCTTTTATTTTAATTCTCATTCTTTTCCTTTACCCTCTTTTCTGTCCACCAATTAGTTTCCATCATTTTAAAAATGCATGTGATGTGGTGGTCATTGGATAGATTATCTATCTATTTATTTATTTATTTGCTTATTTCTTTATTGTTAGTATTACAGATGTTCCCCATCTCGCCCCTCCCCCCCCCACTTTTGCCCCGTTCTACCCAGTCCCTGCCCCACCCAGGCCTTCACCACACTATTGTCTCTGACCATTGGCTATGTATATATGTGTATATGTTCTTTGGTTAATCTCTTCCCATCACCCCT